ATACGTACACCGCAAACCCTAAACCCTGCACGCAGCCCCAAACCCTACCAAGCACTCTCCAACCCCAAACCCTAGACAACCTGCAACAGCAAACCCTAAACCACCAGCAGCAGCAAACCCTAAACCACGAGCAGCAGCAAACCCTAAACCACGAGCAGCAGCAAACCCTAGACCAGCAGCAGCAGCAAAACCCTAAACCCTGGGCCTCTTCGGCGTCGAAAGCAGGCGGGGCGACTGAGCGCTCCCCAGCGCCTAGGGCGTAGGTTTGGGGTTTAGGGTTTAGGGTTTAGGGTTTGGAGGCTTGCCGGACAAGTGCTGCAGCTCCGTACGAGACAAAAGGCCGTGAATCACGTGGCCTAATTCGTGCAGCAAATGGAGACTTTCATTTTCTGTTATTTTGCTGTCGCGCAGCAGCAGCAGCGCTTCTTCTGCGTCGCCCCCTGAGCCACAAACCCTAAACCCTAAACCCTAAACCCTAGGACCTCGGCCGCAAGCTCCAGGCTGGACGCGAAGCTGCAGAACAGCGAGTTTAGCAAAGCACTGCGTCCCTGCGTGCTGATTTGGCGGCACAACTCCCCAAACCCTAAACCCTAAACCCTAAACCCTAAACCCTACCTTTTTCGGAGTTGCACAAACGAGCTGGGGGGGCGAAATTAGAGACAAGAGCGCAGCAGGGAATTTGGCGGAGGCAGCCGTTGTCCTCAACGACGCATGCGCGGCTTAAGGGGCCCCCCAACTCCCATCCCTAAAGGCCAAACCCTAAACCCTAAACCCTAAACCCTAAACCCCAAACTCTAAACCCTAAACCGTAGGGCTTCCCTCCACCTACGGCCCTCACTTGCAAATGGTGCTGCCTTTCTCTCAAGTCCAGCAACGCTTAAAACCTGTCTCACACGCCGTGAACTCTGAGGCGCCCAAACCCTAAACCCTAAACCCTAAACCCTAAACCCTAAATCCTAAACCTTAAACCCTAGGCGCACTCGCTTCAAAGGGTAGTCCATTTGCTTCGAACCCCTTATTGTAAATTGGGCCAGCAGCCGCGTCTTGTCCTTCCTTGCCCACAAATCCACATAAAGGATTCCTCGGGGGGCCCCTGGGGGCCCCCCGGGGGGCCCCCCCCGC